TTGAAATTGCTTTGTCATTTTGAGCTATTATTATTTTGTTTGTTTTTATGATTGGAAGAAATAGTGCGATGCATAATAATGATAATATAAACAATTGTTGTTACATAGCACTTTATTTATATACATATATCACTTTATTACATAGCATTTTACAGAAAGAGAGAAAGAGACAGTCAGAGATGGATAAATCAAAAGACAGACAGACAGAGTTGGAGACATATGTTATCTCATTTGATTCTCATAACAATCCTGTGTGGTAAGTGTTAATGTAATCCCCATTTTACAGATGAGGAAACTAAGACTGAGAAGCTAAGACGCCCAGGGTCACACAACTAGAAAGTACCTGAGGTAGGATTTGAACTCAGGTCCTCCTGAGACCAATGGTCTCTGCTATGGAAACTAGTTCTCTTGGAAGATTCCTAACTGGCACACAATAAGCAGCACGGACAGAGAACTGGACTTGGCAATAAGAAGACCTGAGATCAGATTCTGCCTCTGACGCTTATTAGCTGTGCAACCATGGAAAAATGACTTCATCTTTCTGAGCCTCAGGCAGCTCTGTGAGACAATTAGTCATCATACAGCATCAAGAAGGAGATGCTGTAAGAGTTTAATCTAGGCAACATCAGTATTTTACCTTGTTCACAGTGAGAATGGTTTTATAATTGAGAGCAATAGAGAAGCTATCGACAAGTTGGGGTCTGGTGCCCTGATAAAATCACAGGCAAAAAATAAACTGCATGCCAGGTTGTGCGCTAGGCACTGGGGATATAAAGACAAATAATGAAATGTTCTCCACTCTAATGGGTATCGAGTGATTGTTGATGGGCCATTTCTGGATTCATCATAGAGTGAACACATTTCTGCCTTTCTCTCTATCTCTAATGGTGTCTCCCTCTCTTTTCTCCCATCTTTTTCTCTCTCACTTCTCTCCTCTCTCTGACTCCCTTTTCTTTCATCCTTCTTTCACCTCTCCTTTCACTCTCTTCTTCTGTCCATCCTTTCTCTATCTCTTCCCCTCAATCTCTCCCTCTCAATCTTCACTTGTCCCTCTATTTATGCTGTTCTCTCTCAATCTCTTTTTCATTCTCTCTCAGTGTACCTCTCTCTCATCTTTGTCTCTCTATGTCTATCTCTTTGCTTTTCTCTCTGTCTATCTGCATTTTGGTTTTTCTGTCTGTTGCTTTGTCTCTTTCTCTCATTGTGTTTCCCTTTATTTCTCACCCCATCTCTCTGTCTCTGTGTCTGTCTGTCTCTCTCTCTCTCTGTCTCTCTCTCTCTCTCTCTCTCTCTCTCTGTCTCTCTCTCTCTCAGCATCATGAATGTTTGTCTGTATCTTTTCCTATAATGAAATCCCAATGGCCCTTTTATGTCTCTGAGGAATGCAAAGTACTTTCCAAACATCTGGCCTGATTTTCCCTCCTCAAAGGATAAGGGAGGAGGCAATGGGGTCAGAGTAAATTTGCCCAATGGCCACAAAGCTTCCATAAGTCCTTTCATTTTTTGTTGGTGGGTGGATGGCAGATCCATCATTTAATTGATGTAGGGAACTCCCAGTACGGAGATTCTTTCACTAATTGAAGATTGGCAATGTGTGTAACACTTATAGACTTACAAGGTCACTAAGAACACTGAGGGGCAGCAAGCTGGGGTAGTGGATAGGACTCCAGGCCTGGATTCAGAAAAATCTAAGTTCAAATCTGGTCCCTGACATTTAATAGCTGTGTAACCCTGAGCAAGTCACTTTACCCCTATTTGCCTCATCTGTAAAATGGGGACACACTTGAGAAGGAAACAGTAAACCACTAGTATCATCTAGAAAGTCATGAAAGAGTTGGACGTGAATACCAAGAACACTGAAGGCTTAGGTGACCCACCCACAGTCACTCAGACCAAGCAGTCATTCAGATAAGTGATGCAGAGATGGCACTTGAGCCCAGATCTCCTTGCCTCTCATCCCAGCATCCTCCACACCCCACAGCCTCTCAACTGAGCATTCACAAGCTTCATCATTTTAATTTTTTTTTTTAGTTACAGCAAGGAGAATTACCTTCCCTTCTATTGTGTGAGAAAAAAGGCTTCAAATTGGGACACATGTGGCAATATCTTGGGAAGCCAGTGGAATCCCACTACAATCCAAAGACTCCATTAAGGGAAATACAATAAAGTAGGGAAAAAAAAAACCTGAGTGTTCAGTCAGAAGCCCCAGATTCAAATTCTGGCACTGCTGTTTATGAGTTGGGAAACTTATGAGAGAGTCATAAAAGGTCTGAGAACCTCAGTTTCAACCTTTGTACACTGGGCACACAGGTCTATCACCATCTACCTCACAGAGTTGTTCTGAGGAAGGCATTTGGAAAATGCTCTTGAAATTTTCATTTTTCTTGTTGTTCTCAGCTATATGGGGATTGGCTTTGTTCTGCTTGGTCTCAAGGGGCAGAAGTAGGAGCAATGGGTTTAAATCATAAAGATGAGTTCTGGGTTTGAGACTGGGAGTTGGGAAGGGGCAGTTATAGAGCTATGGGAAAGTGGAATGAGGGGCTTTGGGAAGTACGGGGGAGAGATGGGTCTCCACTTTTCAGGTATACTATACAAACAATGGCTTTTCAGGTAAAGGAAATTTCTGGAATGGCCACTCTTTTCTGGTGCACATAGTGGCTAAGCTCTAATTTCTAGTCATAGAGAGTCGCTGGAGCACTGAATGAAGTGCTTTGACCTCAATCACACAACCAGAATGTGCCAAGGGAGACCTCGGATCCAGGTGTTTCTGATTAGATGGTCTCTGGTCTGAGGTCAGTCAATCCCACGAACCTTTATAAAGCACCAGGCACTGTGCTGGCATGGGCAGCTAGGTGGTACAGTGGATAGAACAGTGGATCTGGAGTCAGAAAGATCTGAGTTCAAATCCAACCTGACATTTACTAGCCGCATGATTCTAAGAATTCACTTAACCCTGTTTGCCTCAGTTTCCTCATCTGTAAAATGAACTGGAGAAGGAAATGGTAAACCACTCCAGTATATTTGCCAAGAAAACCCCAAATGGGATTACAAAAATTCAGACATGTCTGAATAACACCAACATACAAAGAAAAAGAATAAAAATGTCACCATCTTCAAAGGGGGAGACCACATGAATATAAATAAATCCATACCTGATACACACATGATACATACAGAATAAATGGGAGATAAACTCAGGAAGACCCTAACAGCTGGAGTGGGGGGCCAAGGAAATGGCTCCTACAAAAGACCCAATGCAATGTGAGTCCTGAAGGAAGCCAAGGATCCCAAGTGGTTGAGTTGAGGAGACAGCCCGTGCACACACATGGAGTTAGCAGGTAACAGGTCATGTGTGAGGAACACCATGTAGGCATGGAGCAGATGTTGGCAGTTCATGTAGACATGGTGATTCTGAGTGTCATAAAAAAGAACTTCGAGGTCACAGAGACAAAACTTTTAATTTGGCAGGAAACTCTTCCTCAGAGGAATGACTTGGTGGGGGTCACAGAGCTAGTTAGAGGCAGAGCCAGGACTTCTATTACCACCCTTTCCACTATCCACAGTGAGTATCTCCTTCATTTCTCTTGGATATATTCACATTTTAGCATTTTAGACCTCCTTGCTCATGAACACACATGCACACGCGCGCACACACACACACACACACACACACACACACACACATACACCCCTTTCACTGAGATCGTCATCACACAGTAAGTATCAAAATTGGATTTGAACTTTGAACTTGGGGGGGAGTGTTCAACTTGATTACTGTGAGTTCTTTTACAGCTCTAAGCTTATGATCCCAGATCTAGGGAAGATTTAATTTTCTACCATACACACTGCCTTCCATTTCTTTAAATAGTCTCATCCCCCCCACTTTCCCCTGTGATTTCTAACTTGTTTAGTTGTATATCAATAATGATAAAAACAGAGTTGCTTTTGGAAGTGATGGGTTATAAGGAATTAATGTATCTATTTTATAGTTGAGGGAACAGAGGCTAAATGAGTTGCCCATCATCAAAGAACTAGCAAGTGTCAGTGGTCAGAGTTGAACCTAGATCTTACTAACTTAAAATTTCAGTCTCCCGAAACCATAGCTCTGACTGCCCTCTAAAGCAACATGACATCTGTCATTGGCACAGTGATCTTTCTGGCCCATGGGCTGACCAACCCAAGCGTAACAAGGTAGACCTGTCCTGAACACACACATACTACATAAGACATTAAGTAGATTGGAGACACTCTCACTGGAGGTCTTCAGGCAGAGACTGAATGGATGGCCACTTGCCAAGGATATTATAGTGGAGATGTTTGAACACATGCAAGTTTGATCACTGAGTGTCCTCAGTGAAACTGAGATGCTGTGATTGAACCTTTGACTTGATCTTAGAATGTCCTAGCTCCCTGTTCCCTGGAGGACTTCAGGTCTGGCAGTGGGATCACTTCTTGAGAGTGGTACAGAGGGGATTCTCAGTCAGGTATGGCTTGGACTAAATGGCCTGAGTCTCCCACCAAAGTCCTGGGACCTAACCACTGTGGTTTAGCCCTCAGTGGCATGGTGCCCTCCTCCTTGATGGCCAGCTTGATATGTTGGCTTGATGAACGTTTGTTGGGTAGCTTTTAGAGAGGACTCTTTCAGCTCCTAACTTGACCTTTTCCCAGCTATGATAATGCTATGACTCATGACTGCCTGAATCAATGTCTTTCAACTTTAAAAAGCAGATACTATGAACACCAATTTAGTATGAAATAGTGAATAGGGCACCAGATTGAAATTCCATCTCAGACACTCACTACCTGTGTGACCTTGGGGAAGTTTCTTCACTCCTCTGTACCTCAGTTTCCACATTTATAAAATAAAGGGTTAGACTTAATCTCTAAAACCCCCTTCCAGCTCTTGATGTAGATCCTAAGAACAGGAGAAAAAGATTATGGGAGGAGAAAAATGCTCCCCAGACACTCCCAAGGGCCACAGACCCTGATAATGAGCTTACCTGGTACTTGAACAAGGATCCCGACTGTAGCCAGCAGTAGCCCAGGGTGCATACTGTCGAGATGCCCAGTTCAAACTGCTTGACTTGGCCGCACTTGGTTTGGCTTGGCTCAGCTCAGCTTATCTCAGTTCTCCAGGGCACAGCTAGGGAGGCTCCCACGGGACTCCCGCCTGAGAGAGAAGCTCTGCCTCTGCCTGCTTCTGCCCCTACATGAGGAAGTGTTTACTCAAGGTGTTGCACAACCTTCCAGCTGGGCCCTGGCACAAAGAAACCAGAGTGGTTCTACATGCAGAAGGCCTCATGGCTCACTGCTTCTCCAATTACCGGCCCCCACTTTTTGTCTTCCTTTTGAAAGGAGAGAGTGTCAGACAATGTAAGGGAGGCTGCCAGCATTTGGGAAGGGAAAAGTAGAGAAGGGAAGGGAAGAGGGAAGAGGAAGAGGGAAAGGAGGGAAAAGGAAGGGAAATGAAGGCAAGAATTTTCAGAGAGAGCATTTATACCTCAGAAATTGGCAAGTACTAAAATTTATGAATTGATTTATTGATTTATCCTCTGGCTGTGCCCCATGCCTAGAATGCTTCCTCTCCTTATCTCTACCTAGTGGTTTCCCTGGCTTCCTTCAAGTCTCAGGTAAAATCCCACCTGCTAAAGGAAGTCTTTCCTGACACCCTTAATGCTACTATCTTTGCTTTGTGGACTATTTCCTTTTTATCTGTCAATAGCTTGTTTATGCATAAGTTGTTTGACTGCTATCTTCCTCATTAGACTGTGATCTCCTCAAGGGCAGGGACTGTCTTATGACTTTCTTTGGATCCCCAGTGTTTAGTACAGTGCCTGGCATTTAATAAATGTTTATTGAATGACTGTTACTTAATAAAGTGATGGAATGAATATCAATAAACTTAAAAGTGTGACATGTATTCTTTTTGAGATTCTGTTGTTAAATATTTATCAGCACACCACTGTTTGAAGTCAGCATCCAACTGAGACTAGATCCAGCACCAGTCATGTGCCCCATGGGGTTTTGAGGAACCACAGGATTACAGGGCTAAAGCTAAAAGAGATATCAACATCATGGAGCCATAGGACCATATATGTATAAATTTATGAATGGATATGAGAGATTACATGGCAAAACCTGTTTTTGTTGTTATTGCTGTTCAGTTGTTTCAGTCACGTCTAACTCTTTGTGACCTCATTGGGGTTTTCTTGGCAAAGATACTGGAGTGGTTTGCCATTTCCTTCTCCACCTCATTTTGCAGATGAGGAAACTGAGGCAAACAGGATTAAATGACTAGTCCAAGGTCACACAGCTAATAAGTGTCTGAGGCTAGATTTGGACTCAGGAAGATGAGTCTTCCTGACTCCAGTCCTGGCACTCTATCCAGTCTGCCACCTAACTGCCCCCATTTGGAGGATATTAATTTGTTATTGCTGAAGATGATGTTTTGGGGAGGAAAAAGTAGGCAAATACCAAATTCTTATGCTAAGGACAGATCCCAGCATTTACTATATGCTCAAAATTTTTTTAAATAACTTTTTTTTTAATTTTCCAAACTTCTTAGGCCCAGAGAGTGCTTTCTCATGAGGGAGTAACCAAAGGAGAAGCTGGCCACACCCAGTGCCATTAAGGATCAAGGAATGGGAGCAGTTTGTCCATTAATTGAGTTACCAGATTCATTATACAACTGGAGTATGGAAAGAATTTGAGACTTTGGTCAGCTAATCCAATTGGGCCAGAGACCATATCCACCTCCCTGCCCAGGAGAGAAGAAATCTTATTGTCCCTGTTCATGATGTGTATAACATAATTTAAAGGATCTCTTGGACTCAGCCAGTGCCATCCCTCCAAGGTGTTCAGAATTCTTTACACACACAGAGCATGGTATTCCAACAGCATCTCTCTGAGATATGGTGGGGCAGGGCTGGGTAGGGAGGGCAGATATCATCCTCAAATATGCTTCCCTAGTCAGAAAAAAAAGCCAAAAGCAACCATGTGTCCAAATTCACAGTCCAAGGAGGCATCAAAAGCAGATCTCTCAATCTGAAATCTTGTGTGCAAATGCTCGCATCACAAGATCTACTCAAGAAGGGTTTTCAATGAAAATGGAGTCAGAGAGAGAAGATGCTAAGGTGCCTTCTTTAAGCCACTATGAGTACAGGTGATGAAAGAGGGAGGAGAATATTCTTGGTGAATTTCAGTGATCCTCTCAGTTAATCAGTCAATCAAGAAGCATGTGTTAAGCTCCTACTATGCCCTTGGCACTGTGCTAAGTACTGGGGATCCAACAAAAGGGAAAAGATAGCTCTTACTCTCAAGGAATGTATGTGTAAGTAAGCTACCTACAGAATAAATTGGAAATAAGAGGGGGGCATTATCAAAAAGAGGGAGTAGAAAAGTCTCCCTATTCAAGGTGAGATTGTAGGTGTGACTTAAAGGAAACCAGAGAAGCTGAGTAAACAGAGAGAATTCCAGGAATGAGGGACATCCAGTGAAAATGTCCAGTATCTGGAGAGGGAGTGTCTTATTCTAGGAACAGTAATGGGATTAGCATCTCTGGGTGCCATTTTATGTGGAGGGGAAAGAGGAGAAAGAGTCTGGAAAGGTAGGAAGGAGTAAGGTTATAAAAGACTTTCAAAGACAGAGGGTTTGATTTGCTCCTGGAATTGTTGGGAGACACTGGAGTTTGTCGACTGGGCAGGAATGAGGTGCTTGGGGACATAGCCTAACCAACACTTTAAAAAGATCCCTTTGACAACTGAGTAAAGATGGACTGGAGTGGACAGAGACTTGAAGTGGGGATATCAAGCAGCAGGTTATTGCAGTAAGCCAGGTCTAAGGTAAGGAGGCTAGCACTAGGACTGTGCCTGGGCTAGTGATTTCATTGAAAAAAATATTTAAGAAGAGAGTTAATAAGAATATACATACATATTTTTAAAAATCATCATAACTATACAATAACATTGAAATAGTTTTAAAATGACTTTAAAGGTTATTATCTTAATTTTACAGAAAAAAATAAATTGGTCCTTGCAAAGGTGAAGAACAAGAATATTTATATAGTGCTCTAAGGTTTGCAAAGCACTTTATAATTGTCATTTCAATTTACACTTACAACAATCCTGATGCTACTGTTATTCCCTTTTTACAGATGAGGAAGTTGAGTCAGGCAGCAGTCAAATGGCTGTCCCGGGGTCACAATGCTAATGAGTATTTGAAGCTGGATTTGAAAACAAGGCTTCCTGCCTCCAATTTTAATACTCTATCTATCATGCTACCTAGCTGCTTCAGTGAAGTAACTCAACCAAAGTCACTAGCAAGTGTCAGATGTGAGATTCGAATCCAAGTCTTCCCTGACTCCAAATTCAGGACCACACTGTACCAACTTGCTATCTGACAATAATAAGTCATGGCTTCAGATTTCTATAGGGAAATGTATACAAGATCAATTAATAAATCAATCTACAAACATTTATTAAGCACCTTATATGCCAAACATTGGCAGAAGATACTCTGCATTCAAGTGGCTTATGCTCTAATGGGGAAGATGACATGTACATGTATAAGTATATGTGGAGGGACATTGTCTGTCAAGCAGATATTCTGCTATGAGAAAATCCAGAAACCAGAGTGGACAGCATGGTGAAGAGCAGATTTTGTTTTCTTCCCAATCCCACTCCCATTATAGCCTTCCCTGCTACTCATTTTCCATTTCCTGGAGAGGTATCATTGAAGTCCTATTTATTTAATGCTGTTTTAGCCCTTCCAAATATCCTTGAGGGCAAGGACTATTTCCTCATTCCTTTGTATTCTTAGAACTTAGCACAATACCTGGAACCTAGAAAAGCAATTAATAAACTCTTGTTGAAAGGACTTCTGTGAGGCAAGATGGCAGAGTACTCAGAAAGTCACTGTCACTCTCCCTTATTGATCCCTGGGGGGGGGAGAAAATAGCACACCAGGAAAAACCTGGGAACAGAGAAGCAAGTGGAAAGATGGGGTGAAGCAACCTTTTTACCTGGGAAACTTGGAGGATCACTAAGAAAGGTCCATCTCACTCGGGGAAAAGGGGAGCACACCCCAGGACAGGAAGCACGCTAGCAAGCCAGCAACAAGCCCCACCACAGAAAACCAGTGAGAGATTCTGAACCCCAGAACAGTGGAGCAGGAAAACATCAACACCAGGACCCCCTGTGTGCCCTAGCATAGACAGGGAAACTGGCAGTATCCAGCTCAGAGAACTACCATATGTGCCAGCACAGCCCTGGGCAGGCAGGATTCTCCCAGCAGTGGCCTCCCCAGTGCTTCAGTGAACACTAGGGTGGGTGGGTATCTTCCAATGACCAGACACCCATGTGCTTCAGTGTAGCATTGGGGAAATGCAGAAAAGCCCCACCTGGCCTCAGCACATGCAAGACACCACCACTACCACAGTTCAGCACCAGGTAAGCTGCCAGACCCCTACAGCCTCCAGGATCTAGCACCTGAGATCCCAACACAAAAAGCCAGTGACCAGGTCCCTGGGCCCCAGCACAAGAAGCTTGGGACAGTATACCCTGTGCCCCAGAAGTGGAGCTCAGCTTTAAAAGCCAGGAAACAGGCAAACAAGATGAACAAGAAGCAAAATAACACTGACCATAGGCTCTTTCTGTGGGGCAGGGAAAATCAAAACACAGACTCAGAAGAGGACAACGTTGTATCAAAGAGAAATAAGAATTGGTCTCAAGCTGAAAAAAGCCTTTTTGGAAGAACTCAAGAAGGATTTAAAAAGTCAAATAAGAGAAGTAAAAGAAAAATTGGGAAAAGAAATGAGAGGTATGCAAGAGAGAGTTAACAGCTCAGAAGAACAAGGACAAAAACAATGTAGAAAACAATTCTTTGAAAAATACAATTGGCCAAATGGGGGAAAAAATCCAGTGAACAGAAGAACTCCTTAAAAAGTAGAATTGGCCAAATGGAAAAAAATGGTACTAAAGCTAACTGGAAAAAAAAAAAACAACAATTCCTTAAAAATTAGAATTGGGTAAGTGGGAGCTAATAACTCTAGAAAACAGCAGGAATCAGTCAAACAAAATCAAAAGAATGAAAAAAATGGAAGAAAATGTAAAATACCTCATTGGGAAAACAATTGACCTCAAAAATAGATCCAGGAGAGATAATTTAAGAATTATTGGTCTACCCAAAAGCCATGATCAGAAGA